TTGTAAGAAGCTACAGTTTAAATTTCAAGTCGATCGGATAAAAATTGCAAAAGTTATTCATCTTGCCGCAGACCTCTTCCAGAAAAAGACACTGTACTTCAACCGTTTGTACTGCGGCCATTTTGGAAAAAAATATTAAACAAAAAATTTTTTTGTACACCTCATATGTATAATGAATCCTTTATACAGCATTTTGATTGTTTTATTGCTTCATGGAAAAAAAATCCCCGAAAAAAAGGTCTATTTTAAGAGACGTCTGATAGATGTAACTAACCCCTTAAAAAGATTCCTAGACATTGCAAAAATATATGAAAAACATGGCCTTAGAAATTTTTGTTTGTCTGTTCTTGAGGGGATGCTGGAGTGATTCTGCACTTTTGCACCTTTATAACCTAGAAACTAATGGTTCGCGGAAACACTTGTGTAATATACGAATTAAGTGGTTTATGTGTGCAGATTGAAAGCAGCTCGCTATTCCGGCTAAATAAAAGAACAATATGGCATTACTGAAACTAAGTTTTTAAGTCTAATAAGAAATAATAGTGAGCACCACACACACACATACACACACACGCACACGCACACACACACAGTACATGTAATTTGTGTGTTTCTCACTATTATTTTTTATTAGACCTAAAAACTTAGCTTCAGTGATGCCATACTGCTCTTTAATCTAACCGAAATAGCAAGCCGCTTTCAATTTGTACACGTAAGTCATTGAATTTGTACGTTACACAAATGGTTTCCACGAATGTTTTTGTTCAGAATTAAATTTCCTATAAGATCTGAAAATCCAGACTTGTTTTCTGTTGCTGCACTGGTGGGCTAGTGTAGTAAGCTAGAATGAGAAAAATATACCTGTCTTACTCTAATTTATCGCACTAGTTCGCTAGCGCAGCAATAGAAAACAAGCCTATTGGCTGGGAGCTACAGCGTCTAGTTAACTTTTAACTGACCGTTAACTTTACTGAATAGCCAATAGGAATTGACTGTTAACCAGAATAGTCGATAGAAATAAAGTTAACGGTCTGCCATGTACAATACTGTTGGCAGAAATACCTCCAGGGGCTCAATCGTGAATCTCTCGCGCGAACTTGCGAAAACTGAGAAAATTTCATTAACGAGTTTAAAACGAGTTTAATATTTATCAATGAAATTTTTTACTTTTCACAAGTTCACGCTGGAGAAAAAGGATTCACAATGGCACATTGATGGCAGAAATCAAAGATCAGGCGCAAATTGGCCGACAGAAATCGAGCAGACGTTATTGGTGAAACATAAACTAACTGCAGTTATGATTGCCAATTAATCAGTTTTGGTTAAATTTGCTGGCACGTTGTAAACAGCTATTATATTTATTTATTATACACTATATATATATATAATATATTGCTCATTTGCTACAGCAATGACATAACTCGATAAACAAAGAAAACGAGTTTGAATATTTTGTATTATTACAATTTTATAATATTTTTCAATGCAATTTTCCTGTAATACAACTGATTGTAGACGAATAAAAGTATCTATGTACTACACATTAGCTCTTTGCAGTGTGGAATACAATTAAAAAATAATTACATTTTTATTTTTATATTATTAAAATTATATATTATTAAAAAAAATTTTCATTATCTATTGACGCAACATACACGACTTCGACATTTATGTATTAATTTATGTATTAATCTAAGCACTTGTTACTTTGTATAGTTTTTCTCGCTTGAAAAGGACCAAAACCCATGGTCGAAACGTAGCGAGTTTGGAACATTAAAATAGCCAGATACGGTCAATAAAAAATTTGAAGTTATTACATTTTTAGTTGTGTCTAAGGGATAAACCGCTGAGGGCATTGTGGTGTACAGATTTGCAGCATTACTAGGCGGTTTTTTGTTTTGGCATTAGTAAGCGTCCTTTAGCTTTGCTGGGGCGTTATAAAAAATTTAAAAAGATAAAAGAATAAGATAAAGTAATGCTAGGTATTAGTGACGAATTTCATGATTCTGATCAGCGGTTTACCCCTCGGTTATGTCATAACAAATGAGCGATATTTTGAAATACATGTATGCACGCAAAGACAATCTTGTTGTATTTATTATAAAACACTATTGCTATGAAACGATGGAAACAGCGAAGCTACTTTCTTAATTTGAGAAAGAAACATGGTCTGAGTAAGAACTTTGATTCTAGTGAACAGAGGGATGCCACGTAGCAAGCGAAGAGGACCCTCCAGCACAAACCACAATCATACTCCCATTGATATGTCAGTATCTGGGGCACATGAAGAGAGTTTACCTAGGCATCCTTCAAAACGGTTAAGACATACCTCTAGGTTTGAAATTTTATAATAACAGTATATAAATACATATTGATACTTGTTGAATTATACGTAACTGTCTTATTGTTACGTTACGAAACCCCCTCAAAACTCCGACCGTATCCCGTAATCTTTTGATACAATACTTGCGTAGTTGTCACGTGCATGTTATCGATCCACTATTGAGTTAAATAAGAAAAGTAGGTTTTAATTGTTTCTTTAATATACGAATGATATTGCAGTGCCAGACGATACACAAAATCTGAAGATGTGTCCAACGCGTCGACGTTCTCCCAGAAGCGTTGCATCACCTGGTTCAGAGAATACACCTCGCCAGATGACGCAGACACCCTCGGACCCGAAGGAATGGAAAAGTTTTGCGAGGATATCGGCGTAGAACCTGAGAACGTGGTGATGCTTGTTCTCGCGTACAGGATGAACGCACGCCAAATGGGCTTCTTCGCACTGAACGAATGGCTCAAGGGCTTTTCGGAGTTGCAGTGCGACTCGATTAGTAAAATACAACAGAAGCTCGAATACCTAAGGAATCAACTGAACGACCCGTACACGTTTAAGGGAATCTACAGATATGCTTACGATTTTGCCAGAGTATGTACAACGTTATCTGTGTTAACAGCATTCAAATATACACGTACAAGAGTGTAACGGGACGTGAAACGCTTTTGTCTACTTGTGATAATTTCACTGAAACTTTTTGCAGGACAAAGATCAGCGTAGCATGGACATGGAAACGGCAAGGGTAATGTTACAACTGCTTTTGGGAAAACATTGGCCACTATTTACGCAGTTTGCTCAGTTCCTAGATCAATCAAAGTACAAAGTGATCAATAAAGATCAATGGTGCAACATATTAGAATTTTCACGTACAATCAATCATGACTTATCTAATTATGATTTGGATGGAGCGTGTAAGTTCACAGGAGCGAACGTTAATATTGTATTCTAATGTAGAGAAATGTAGCGGATTAGTTTGCAGACGTAGCATTGTATCGTACGGTTTTCTTTTTTTAGGGCCAGTAATGCTCGACGAATTTGTTGAGTGGTTAAAAATTCAACGAGGCGAGGGATCGTCATCGACAGAAGTTACAGGCAGCTGAAACATCATAAGAATAGTCCATTGAACTAAGAACAATTTGTTTCTTTTTACCGTAAGATTCTGTAATTAACGAAATTTCTGTTTATAAATATCATAATCTCGCAATATTTCAATTACCACCATTCATACTATTTTTTTTATTATTAAATGATAGCGATGTATTGTAAGTAGCTTATCTTAATAAGATTCACCGTTTCTTCCTATGTAGATCTGGCTGAAAAATTTCATTTAATCTGTTTTCTTACTCATCACCACTTGCAATTAATCCAGGGTTCGCCGCAGAAACTTGTGATTAGAAATAAAACTATTTTGATATAAACATTTACTTGTGCAATTTATAAAAATAATTTGGGAGATCAAATTCGTAGATAAGTGAGTTGAAAAATTGTCCAAATTGAGTAAGACGACAATTGCGATTGACTTCCAACGATTGTAAACGGTAAACTTTTCGTTTGTGTCGTTGCAAACTGAACGTTCTCACATACCTTTTACGTTGTTATCTAAATGTTATCTAAATAAATTGATCAAGAGCTATGTATAACATTCACATTCCACATCATTGAGTTAACGTTGAGTAAGCGCAACTGTGAGCTTGGAATTTACAATTTTCGAAGCAAATTCTGTTGATATTTTTAACTTACCGTGTTACCCCTTATTTCGTCCATCGTAAATCTCATTGTAAAGGCACGTTTTGCAAAATTTAGGTATGTATATTATCGATGCAAGGAACATTAAAAAGTAACACGAATATATCATCAAGTAGACTCACTGGTGAGGTGAAACACTATGCAGGTGCTACTACAACGTTTAATACTCTAAAGGTAGTACCATAAAGTGTCAATATCATGCGCTATTTAGTCAAAATTAAGTAATTCCTGTAAATGCTAAAATTATTGATGTATATTAGAATAACGAACTCTCTTATTAAAACAATAATATTTATTAAGTACACATATTTCCCGATATCTTTCGAATTTATTGATATCACGGACTACGGTTTATTAATAAGGACGCAAAATTATCTGACAAAAGAAGACCTCTATTCATAATTATTTATTTACAAGAGCCTCCCTGTTATTAATATGTCTTTGATATCGTTGTCTCGTCCAATAATCTTGATAATCTGTATGCTGAAATCAATCGTTATCTCATTTACAATTTCTATGATCGTTTCCCGTATCTCGAGTTTTAAGTATCGAGATTTAATATCCTGAGACGTCGCCAAGAATTTTTGCGAAGTTTTCTGAAACTCATGTATATGGTATAATTATATAAGACTATATGTAAAATATATTAATTTGATAAAGCGCTAACCATTTTTATTCAATGAATTTACAAAACTTTCAAACTTGTACGTCACCGAAGTCGTTTCGTAACGGATTTAGTCCAAATCCGAGTCAATTTGACAAAACAGGCAGATCGTAACAAATTACTCGACAATATCGATAATAGTGAGTAGGCTTCTTCGATCATTAAAGTAAATACCTTATACATATTTATTTCTCTATTGCAAAGGATGTAATTATAACAGTACTGCATTAACAGTGATTTTTATTTACACCTGCAGCTTCTAAACGCAATGAACATAGAATTTCCGTAAGAATATTTATTGAACACTTGTAGGTTTACATAGTTTGCAAGTAAGTTAACAATACGAATTACAGTTGCAGGACGTTGCAAATATTATTGCCATCGCTGGAGAGTGCAATGTATTGGATAATAATATAAGGAGCGAATAAAATACCTTTTTCAATATCATTCATCTATCATTCTCGACTGTCGTTTTTGATTAAAAACGTTACATATGAAACGTCATTATAGAGATATAAATAGAAACGCACGTAGCTGCGTAAGAGTATTTATTAATGGAGTTCTTGCTTGAACCTTTTGACGTGTCGCGCATTTTTTTATACGCTACAATTATCTATACATTGTCTACACCATAAACGTAAAAAGAAAGCTGTCGAGCTTAAATAACTTAATGTAGCTATAGATCATATGTACACGCTGTACGATCGTATACGTAAGAAAAAGAAAATTATCGACGCGGCACAGCCTCGACTAAAGTGCTACGATTACGAGGAAAACCGGCACTGCCCTAAAGTGAGAATAGAAATACTACCGATAGTTAGCAAGAGGCATAAATATCTACCCTTGATAGGTATCCTGAACAGCCTGGCGCACATCTTTAACGAAGACGTGTACAACAGTATGCTATCGAGATCCTCGCCCGGGGTGGTTTGATACACGAACGGCCGTATACGAATTTCGTGTCCCACTGCTCGAATCATGGAGCAGGCGTTCGTTAAACGAGCAGCCTGAAAAGAAGATACGTTAAAATGTTAATGAGTAAATTCCCCGAGATGGGGGGGGGGGGGGGGAGAAAATACTTTGCCGAAAAGACGAAAGTGAAATAAAAATGATTGAAAAATTATCGAATGCACTATCTTAAAATAAATCATGATATTTCTACGAAATTCAATGTAATGCTGTGATTATAAGGAAAATTAAAATGTATTAAATTTAACTAAGGAAAACGTTACTTTCTGCTAAACAATTTTTTCAATGATTTTTTCACTAAATTTTTATAAAAGTATTGACGCGATTAATTTAATAAAACAGGTAGAACATAACAAACTCGACAATATCCATGATAGCGAGTAGATTTCTTCGATTATCAAAGTAAATACCTACATATATTTATTGCTCGGTTACAAAGGATATAATTAATACTACATTAACAGTGATCTTGCAAATTTACTGATATCACTATTGTTTTAACGTTTTACTAAAATATCGATGGAGTGTTAATGAAACGGGATCATTGAGAGATATTTAAATACATCTCAGCAAAATGTCATTACATTTTCAGTAAAATATTTTCAGCAGGATCATGGAATGATATATGTAACAAGCACGATCGGTGAAGTACCTGTATAAACGGAGCCATCGAGATCAAAATCCATAATACAACGTTCATTACGTTAACATACGTAACAGGGTTGTCATCCTTGCCGGTGACATAGTATTGAAACAACCACACGATACCCGCAGTCGCCCAGGACAAATTGACTATAGTGTAGATGCAGACGGCCGGTCCTAATTCGTCGTTGAAGTACTTCAGCAGCTTCTTGAACTCATCGATGTCCTGCGAGTCCCGCAAAGAGAAATTTATCAATAGAATAAACGATTTGAACTCGGATCGAATAATAAACGACTGTGTACGTAAACTACGACATTTGCTTCGAGAGGCCGAGCCTGATACGGTAAGGTGATTGTCGCATTTTTCCTTGTGCTCGTTTCTAACGGTTCCCAATTTAATTTACCGTGCAGAAGATTCCTCAATTGGTATTTTGAAACCGGTCTTTACTAAAATTCTTTCACCAACAGCAGGTGTATAATTGATTCCGAGAATATTTGGAGGATATCGCAAGTAGAAAATATTATAGGCATCCATCCGGTGTGTTAGAATGTCCTTAGTACATTCTATAAAAGTACAAATTATTCAAATAATATCATCGCTGTCGAGGCTCCAGTCGACGACTCTAAGAGAACACAGTTCGCTGAACGTAAAACAGGAATACTACTGGAAATCACAATAATTAGAACGTCAGGTCCGCCAATTAGAAATCTTTTGCACGCACAAAGACAGTCCGACTCCCGCAATTATAAATGTACAAAGAATAAGAGATTTCAATATTCGTTCATTTCTTTTTCAGACACATGTAGAGTAAAAGGTTGTTACATAGCTCACAGACCCTCATCCAGTCGATGGGCAACAGAACATGTTGGAGTAATTTGCCGCGTAGAAAGTAAAGGTGCGACATCAATAGCTGCCCTTGGAGACAGTAGCTTGTTATAATGGTTCCCTGAACCATGTCATGCCACAAGGTGCAAACGATTAGAAACACCTTCAATGTTATCTTCACCTGGTACGGACTGCGGGTGAAATACGAACAGTTCAATTTACCTTTGTCCTCGTCGAGGTAATAATTGCCATTCTCTCATGCATGGATTAATGACGCGTAGCTATACCTGCTTTCCATCCATTGAAATACAATATTTCTCTCCGCCATTTGGATGTTCACTGTAATCAGTGCCATAATCATCCACACGATGCTCAACGCTATGAACAGCCACAGTATGTGCACGAGGCGCTTCTGATTGCCGCGATTTATCGGATTTGAGGAGAGCAGAAACGCTCTCTCCATCAGATTCTGCAGCTGCTCGTTTTCCTTGACGCGAAACAGATAGATCGTGTACAAGTAGGCTACCAAATGTAACACGCTCGGGATTAAGTAGCTGAATATCACGTTTCCGTAGCAGGACGGTTCTTGCCGTTCCTCGCCCAGCGCATTTTGCTCCAGGAATAATACTTTGTAACAGAATCCCCGATCTCTCCTGAAAACGACAAATACGCCTGTCTTACTAGAGCACTCGTAAATTAAATACAAGATAGTAATGTATTGAGTTATAAAAGGGATACATATATATTTTATAATTTTTGCTATACATATAATTTATTATACACATAGTGTCCCGTAAGTCGAGGTCAATTGCTCAGGAAATGAATGGAGACCCAAAAGCAAGAAAGAAAGTTAGTATAAACGTAGGTCCGAAAATGCGTTGTTCTCGAGTTATCGCCATTCTTATGTTAAAATTTGAAATTGCTTTGCTTTCGCATTTTTTTGGTCAAAATTGACACAAGATATGGTTTTTATGAGCTTTATAACATAATTAAAGTGAGATAAAAGTTTTAAGTCACCAATTGTGTAATATAAATATATAAATATATAAAATACACACACGCACATATTATTGTTAATATTAAATAATATGTGTATCACGTAAAATTTCTTGGACTTTATTATTCTTATGATATATGATATTTATGTCAAAATAATATAATAATGAATTACCTGAAGCAAGCCATATATTGTAAAATATATCCGATACACATAAATACAGTAACTTGCACAGTGTGAAAATTTGCTAAAATGGAACATCGTAGAAAATGTTCGGAATCGTCGCTGCTAGTTGGTCTCAGTCCCATCACTCCCAGCAGCCTCAGATAAGGCCTCAGTATTTTATGTTTACAATAATGAAGTACAGCTGACGTGCTAATGAAGTTTTCATAATCTTCTGTAATTTCCCCTACTTGCTGTGCAACAAATAAATCGGTTTTAACTTGTGCGTGCATAAAACTCCACGCCACATATGTACAGCGAAAGCTAGACAATAATATATCGAATTGTCCGTTGTTTATTGAAAACTATAATTCCAACTGCAATGTACGAACTTACATCGGTGCTTTGAAAAGTTGTTGTTAGACTCGTTAATATAGATGGTACCTCCACATGTTCCTCGTGAATTTGTTGAGACGGATCTTTATTATTTTTGGATTTATTATTACAGTCCATCTGCGAGTTATTTTATATTAATTAATTTCGTATTGCCATTGTATAAATTATATACACAAAGTGATCGTTTATACATATTTTATCTTATTAATTTTAACAAGTATCTTAGAGAAGTCGCTAAGGTGTGTATACGTGAACAACTTCCAAGATATTGAAATTAATAAACGTACATTAAAATATAAACGCTATAAAAATATCACGGGAGAATTACCTTCGTCAACGTAATAACGTACTTTATGAGATGTAAATTAGAATCAGAGAAATCAATTTTTTCCATACCGTGTCATTCTAGATAAATAATTTGGAAATTATATCAAAAATATCTTAGAGACGACGTACACAAGTTTCATTGCTCGATACTTGTCTGTATCCAAACAAGAATTTACAACGATATTCAACTTTGAGGCTAACGAGCTGATACACTGGGAAAAACGGAAAGCTACGCTTCAATTTATGTATATATCTAATGTGCAAGGTTGTAGCAATAAAACTATACGATTTATTCTATCTGTGTTTGTAGAGAAATTTATTTATTAAATTAAAATAATACAACTCACCGACGCCATTTGGAACTCCTTGGCCAAGGAGCATACTGCTTTCGGACTTGGGAAGAAAATATTTATATCAATAGTTTGGCATGTGGCTCACCCTAACACATGAACATATAAATCATATCAGCTCTCCGAGATGACATTTCACCTTTGCTCAAAGATATCCACGTGCATCGCAGCTGAAGCAGATCGTTACGTCTGTGCAAGAACGCGGCGCGCATTGTAGAGTGGAGCGACAATAAATAAAAGTGAATAAAAAAATCTTATATTTACAGTTTTATAATACAAAAGTATTAATAAATTAACATTTTTACACATTAAAATTCGTAAACGTGTAAATTAACGTTTTTTCCTTAAAAAGTTTCCTGCGGGTCGTAACACGTTGTATTCCGTTCTACGGTGTTTCATTTCTCTATGTTTCTTCTATAAAAAAAAGAAAATGGAAGACAATAAAGTAAAAACATTTCAATCTGTAATCAAATTAAACGTCTCGGTGGATATACCTTTCCAATAACAAAAGTCATTTCTCTACTGCCGCGCGAACCAGATACTTTAACGTTATGTGACTCTTCAGTGTCCAGTCTCTCACCGAATGTTGCCCTGTAAAAGACATAATTTTAGTAATTTGAAAACCCTCCGAAACGAGTGATGCTTGATGAATCAGTATTTACTTGTTCCGTTTCTTCTTCTCCGGTCCACCTTCCTCGAATATCACATTACGTTTCGTCTCGTTCATCCTCGAGTCATTTCTCGTAATCAAATCATCATCGTCGTCCTCGTTCTTCTGTTCATTCTCTCTTTCCTTTCTCTTCATTAACCGATAATTCTTTCGAACTTCTTTAGCCCATGGTTTCTCATCGTCTGAGCTATCGTCGTCAGAGCTATCGTGAATGAAGCTTTCATCTGAACTATTGCCTTTAAAAAATAAAAAATACATATATATATATATATGAGACTTCCACAAAAAGCATTACTTTAAATCCTTTCATTTTACCTTTCGGCTCAGCCTCATCAGGTTTATCTTTAGCTACTTCTTCTTGCGCCAACTGCTGTTTTAATTTTTTAGCTTTACTTTTACCAAGTTGAGAAACAACAGGATTCAATAAAGCATACTCTTCAGAGTCTTTATCGATTTGGAAATCAGCATTGGTGAAGAGAGCTTTGAACCGCTCGTCGTTTAGCAGATTCGAAGACGCTTGTTTCTTCTTGTTCTTAATATTTGCATTCTCCATTAGTTTCAATGCCAGCTCTTGATTCACACTCGGCAACTTTTGCACCTGTTTCCATTGAAACAAAGTACATTACGTAAATTAATAAAGTGCTGCTCTTCAAGGTATCATACGCGTACAAATAAAAAAAACAGAGCTTGATACATTAACTAAAAGTACAATCAAACTTTAGATACCTGTACTCTGCTGACGGTCTGCTCTTTAATTTTGTCGCGAATTCTCCTTCTCTTGTATTCTTCAAATTCAAACGGCTTCATCACGTCTCTTGCTTTCCTGTACAATCGCATGTCCATGAAATAGCCGTGCATATAGGCCCTGAGTAGATTAGTACCCTTCAGATGGGAAAGACCTAATTCGTCCAATTCCTTGTCGGTCACAAATTTGTAATCGTCGTAGACGATATCGTAATTCAGCTCTTCCAATTCCTCCGTAAGATTGTCGAGGAAACTGCACCAAGAAGGGGCAGGCCCGAGACTGGGAACGTAATATATTTGCATTTTCTGAGTCTCGTTAGCCATCAGCAGCATACCGCTGTTCGGTATGACAGACAAATCGCTGAAGTTGTGCTGTGCCTCTATGGACGTGTAAACTTTACCCTAAAGGAAGAAAAACAATCATTCAATCTTCACGGGACTTGTAGTTTATAAAAAAAAATGTATTATTCTACAGATTATATCTTGGCAGAGCTCAACGTCCAGAAATAATGAATTCTACTCACGCTATCCCTCTCCCATATTTTTACAATAGCGCTGTCCATAGAGTAAACGAGATCCATCTTTTGATGGAAGTCTATGCACTTGATCGGTAATCCGTACATATGGTCCTTGGTTAAAAACGGTTTGTTGGATCTTATGTCGTACAACAATACATGTCCCGTGGACGTGCCGACTCCTAAATTCAACCCTCCTTGAAATTTCAAGGCGGTGATCGCAGGAACTGTCTTCAAACTGACGAAGAGAAGTCAATCGTGTTAATCCAGGAAATTTATTTCGGTAAGAAGTGTAAGCTCCATTCTCGTCTTACTTGTCTTGAGCGACGCAGTGCAGAGCACAATCGAGTACACCCACTCTATTCCTCGTTCTCGGATCCCAAGCTTCAATCCTGCCCTCCTGAGTGCCGACCGTGAGCAAATGATGCACCGGATTCACCTCGCATTTATTTATCGATGGCGCTTCCGTTTCCAACGGTTGCAAGAACTGACCGCGTTCAAGATTTATTCTGTATATCTTATTACTGCAAAACAGACGTAATAATTTTGATTCCTTTTACAATCACGTCTAATCTACAATGTGCTCTTTGCGTCTAGAAACGTTCTGTTTTGTAGAAGTAAATCAAAACGCTTCAAAACTTTGTTGACAGCATACGATTGCACGATGTATAATGTACAATTTATCAACTTGCATAAATTTTTTAAACGTATCTATCGACTACAAAATAGAATGTTGCTAAACGCAAAAGGCATATTGCAGATCAGGCCTCAGATACACACAACATAAAGAACCCCGCACTAATCATATAGGAAATTGGATCTCGGTTAAATTGGCTAGTTTTCACATATGTTGTAGCTTATGACCTGCTGAACAAGAAGTGTAATGGGCTCAATACTTTGAAGTACATTAGGAAAAAATGTTTCAGACAAAAGTTGTTTGGTTCGAAGGGAGACATAAGATGATGCCATTAATTTGACCTTGGATAATCATTTGAAGGTCGCACGAAGGTCAATTTCAATTTTTTAAATGGACGCCCCCATTTTTCATTGCACATTTTTACGTCAAGAGTTTCTCAAAGACACTATATAATGAAATATAGTCTTATTTCGAACCAAACAACTTTTATCTGAAACATTTTTTCCTAATATGCTTCAAAGTATTTCCAAACAAGACCCTATGTTTGACTGGCTGTAGCCCAGTAACTAGCCATTATTTAAGTTTGAGCCCATTACATTTTTTGTTCAGCAGGTCATAAGCTACAACATATGTGAAAACTAGCCAATATAACCGAGATCCAACTTCCTATATGATTAGTGCGGGGTTCTTTGTTTAAACGACAATCAAAGCTGTACAATTATACGGAACTTTTAAAACTGACCTATCGCCCACGACAAAAATGTCGCACGACGGATAATGATACTTCAGATCTCTTCCAAAGTTCGGAACTCTGAGCTTGTAATACTTCCCGTAAGCGGCATGAAACTCGACGTTGCGATCGCATTGCAGAAATATTATCTGAAAGAGCACGAGATTAATAAAATTACTTCCAAATCGATTCGTAAAAACAGACATTATTTTAATAATCATCAACAGACGAAACCTCGCGATACAATAGACAAGGTTTCTGTACCTCGTACAAACTGTTTGTAGACCTTTATCTAACAATCATACTTACCTTGCTATAGTCGTCTGATATTACTTCAAAAGTCACTACTTCGGAATCGAAACACCTCTCGAATTTCAACGCCAAATTATGTACGTCGAAACACTTGACGCGCGGCTTATAGATCCCTGTCGCAAGTATGTACTGCTCGTCTTTAGAAACTCTAATAGATGAGCTTAAGCCAGGCATGTCGAAGTCTTGTATAAGCTCGATACGTCGTCGTATGTCTAGCGACAAATAACAGCATTAAATATTAATAATGATATTAGTAGAAATTAATAACAATTAGAATTTATTATATTCTAGTCTTGAATATATTTGGGGTAAGGAAGAGCCATGATATTGTTCGCAGATCTCTTTTAGATTTTGATAAGAAATACAGAGAAAAGTCCTCTATTAGGAGCTAGGGTTCTAATGTGAGATAATAGGTTTTCCACGTCCAAATTCAATCACAAATCTTTTTCGTAACAATTACACGATCAAACAATCAAACTGATCAGAAATTCTTCAGGGTCGCCAGCAAAAATTAACAACATCAAATTTGGTTGACCATATCTGGCAATTTTAATGGTTTAGTGTCGCGACGTTTCGACCATGGGTTTTGGTCCTTTTCAAGCGATCATAACTGTGGTAGTCGTGTACATAGAATCACATGTATTATGGTGGTGTTGAGAGGATAGTCATTACAGTCCAAAAATATTATGTCAGTGTTGGCTATACGTGAACTTAGCTTGAGCACTGACAGAGCAAACAATCAATTTTTCACTAAACAGAATTTACTCCAAGGGCAATAAATTCATGGTGGCATCAACAGCTGACGCTAATTAATTAATTTAGCAGAATCTCCGCTATCCCATATTAGGAGCCTGCCTCATAATAGGGGATTTCCTCTATTTTTTCTTTTTTGCAAAAAGAACAAAGATGTGAGAAAGCAAGAGCCATAATTTATTCTCGGATCTCTATTTAAATTAAAAAATATACTCCTCCAACTTTTTTGCAAGGAAAATATGCAAAATTGTCTCTCAATATTACAAAAGAAGTAATTATTAAAATAACCTCAAGTCAAGACAAATTAATTAGTTAATTAATCGCTATTTGGCATTTTGTTTATTTTACAAACGGAGATGCATAAATTGTTATTAGTCACTTATATACTTTTTATACCTCGGTATTGCTTCGACGACGAAGTTTGTGACTTGGAAAGCCTCACTGTTTAAATGGTAACTCACTTTTCGCAATGCCGGTATCAACGATTTTTAAATCTTGGTTCTCGTAAAAAAAAAGCAATGAACTTAAACTCATCAAAATCTAAACGCGGACCCGCGAACGGAATATTTGTCATTACTTCTCATACGTCGATGTAATGCTTACCGACATTCTTCTTCGATAAACTTCTTCTTTTTCGTTCCGACAGCCACTGGAAAAAATCAGACAACGCACATTAAAATGTTACACTTAACCTAAACGATCGACGTGTGTAAACAAGTTTTTACCTCAGGGAGAGATTTTCCAGCGCTAAGATTGTAAATCTTTATATTATTCGGAGCGGAGACCTGCATCCTGGCGTTTATATGGTAAATAATATAAGAGATTGTTCAGAGAAATCTATATTTATTCACACATATCAACCACGAACGGTAAACGAGCAAACGTGGAGCTGATGGAATGGAATGCACATGCAGCACATGCTGTGGTAAGACTGGTGAGCTGTAAGCACGTGGCATTAAAGGCTCCTAGGGTATTTAATTTATCGTATGACAAGTTTTCCAAGCGATTGGTTTACAAAATAGGGAATTTCTAAAGACACGTGAACGTCTCTATCCTACAGCCAATCAGCATGTCCGAAAACAGGTGCTTCCTCCCTCTCATCCTCGTATTTTTCCCATATATTGTATATAGTACTGTATATAAAATCATATATATATGTATGATTTTCCAACAAACTTCTCCTACTAGGGCTGCATTCGGAAACTCGAGTGTTCCAGTGTCGCGCTTACTCAAGAGTTGTGTCTGCTGAACGCGGCCATTGGGACATGTGACGCGAATGGTGCGTTCTTTTAAGCATCGGATACAGCAATTTTTGCAGTAATTCATTCGTTTAGCACGACTACGCAGTCGACTGTAGCGCAGATTTTCGTTCTTTTAACAATGGATGCGCAGTAGATACACAGTATAACCACAGTATAACCAGTATGGGCACTCTCTGTCGGCACCACGGTCTTACATACAGGGGGTCTATTACGGTTCTCGGATTGGGTGAAAATGACGAAAGTGAGTAGCTTTGTCTCTTTCTAACTGTCCCTTTAGTAAGAGACAGAGCCGCTCACTTTCGTCATTTTCACCCAATCCGAGAACCGTAATAGACCCCCAGGTCTTGCAACTTCGGTGGTGGGGGTGTCTCACTTATTGAAGTCACGCTTATTAGTCAGCCCCTTAGAACATATATACCTGGAAGGGGAATAGTGATGCCAGATCTGTCCAAAACATGAGATAGAGAATATATCTCCTTCCTTGTTCTCGAGATGGGCAAAGGTAAAGCTAAGACTCCATAGGTGCGTTGAGCTGCGGCAACGCCGTGCGGCAGATATATGGACCAATCAGAAAACTGCCGCAAGTCGCCTGCGTCAACCTTGCGTTAAAATCAAAATTTCTTGATTTTGCCGCAGCGGCAAGACGGTAACCGCCAAACATAACCCTCATAATCGCTCGTAGGTTATATGTGGATACGGATCTCTTTAATATGGATTCGGATTCTAATCAATCTTCTAATGAGAGTCTGAATGAATTAATCATTCATC